CTTCTACAACCTCATTTGCACTAAGGACAACATCCAAAATTTGTCGGCCTTTACCAAAATCTCCTTGATGTGGAGACATTGTGCTGCCCATAACCTCCCTTAATCTTGAAGCTAGGGTTTTCGCCACAATTTTGTATAAACCAGTAACTAGGCTTATAGGCCTGTAGTTCGTCACTTTCAAAGAATCTGACTTTTTCGGAATTAGACAAATAAATGTTTCATTTGTCACCACATTTATTATCCCTGTCTCAAAGAACTCATCCATGACCTTCAAAATATCCACTTTCAAGAATTCCCAACAATGTTGAAACATTTGCAAGGAATAACCATCTGGTCCTGGCGATTTATCCCTTCCACAATCAAAGACAGCTCTTTGTACTTCTGATTCCTCAAAGGCCTCTCAAGCCAAGCTACCTCAAATTCACTTATTGAGGCCCAATTGATGCCTTCCAAGCCCCAACATGCCTCTTCGTTGCTACTAAACAGGGACTTGAAGAAGTTAACGATATGTTTTTCTATTTCTTCTGCATCCTCTAACACTCCCCTGTCATCCACTTCCAACCTTTCTATATAGTTTCTCTTCCTTCTCCCACTTGTTATTCTATGGAAAAATTTAGTATTACTGTCCCCTTCTTTAGCCCATTCCACTTTACCTTTCTGCCTCCACTTCACTTCTTCCTTATAAGCCAGATCTTCCACAAGGAAAAGTAACTATTTTTTCTTTCTTTTAGCAGCAACATCTAGCCCTTCCAACCCTTCTCTCCTATCTAAATCTTCTATGCTAGCCTTAGCATCCTTAATTTGTTTCTCGACATCATCGGAAATTTCCTTACTCCATCTTTGCAACTTTCTTTTGATAGCTTTTAACTTGTACAAAAATTTATAACCCTCCCAACCCTTCACCTACTCAGATTGCCACCATTGTTTGAAATTGTCCCTGAAATCTGGGTGTTGTAGCCACATGTTTTCGAATCTGAAAGGACTTGGCCCCCATTTCACCTTGTTAGTATCTAGCTAGATTGGACAATGATCAGAAGTGACCCTTGCCAAAGCCATTTTTCTTACCTCTGGAAAAATCTCTTCACAACCTACCGAGAACAAAAATCTGTCTAACCTCCGACACACAGGTTCTTCTTTGAAGTTTGACCAAGTAAATTGAGCATTGAGCAACTCCAGATCCTTGAGTTTTGTATCTTGGATGAAATCATTAAAATACCTCATGCTTGTAGTCATCCTTGCCCCATTTGATTTCTCATTTACAAATCTCACCACGTTAAAATGTCCTCCTACATACCATCTTGGTCGGCAAAGACCGTAAAGGCCGGCCATTTCTTCCTAGAACTCCCTTCACTTTCTATTTTTGCAAGGACCATAAACACCAGATAACCACCATTCCAATCCATTGAGGGCTTTCATTTTTATGGAGACAGAGAAAGCTCCAACCAAAGATTCAATAATTGAGATGTGTTTGGTGTTCCAAATCACAGCTATACCCCCAGATCTTCCTTGAGCAGGGGCATAAATCTACTCTTCAAATCTGCTTCCCCAAACACTAGCCACAAGTGACCTGTCAATTGATTCTTTCTTTGTTTCTTGTAAGATAATGACATCGGGCTTTAAGCGCCTGAACTGCTATTTCAAAATCAACCTCTTTTGCCTACTTCCCAATCCTTTAACATTCCAGCTAATTATCTTCATTAAATCTGACAATGCCCCTTTGAATTTTCTTTTCTCCCTTGTTTCCACCCACAAGCTTGCTAACATTGACTTTCCCAGTATTCCTTTCATGAAATAAAGACCTTTTCAGTGGCACCAAAGAAACTTTCATATTTGACATGAATTTGGTAGTTCGATTATGTGCTTCACGTTTGACTGATACGCAAGCGGACCTTTTCCTCCTACTGTACTTTAACAGTTTCTTGTTTTTTCTAGTATCCTTAAATTCAACTTGTTCCACAGCGTCTAAATCTGCTATATGATGCGACTGAGAAACAACGTCATCCTTGTTTCCATGGTTGTATCAGTGAAGAGATTGTGAAAGGCTGAGTAGCCAAGTTTGGAGAAGTCGTCAAATAATCACTATTTGAAGATCGAGAATAACCAACATTCACATTGCACAAAATTCTATAGAAAAGGGGACAAATTAACATATTTAAAATAAGTATTATGATGCAAACATTCTCAAGATAAATTAGGCTAAAAAAAGAAACGAATCTAATGATAATACTAAAGGAAAAGGAATTAAAGAAACGAAAGTAAAATAGTCGAACACAAATGAAAGAAAGACGCAGATCAAATTATCAAAAAATCTAAGTTAGAGTTGTTAAAATTCACTTTTATTTGTACAATTCAAACTTCCACACATTTATTCGTACACTTTACCAATTGTCAGACACTGCTAATTGCTAATATAGCAAGATAACGAATTCCGTGTATGAAAAAAATGATATGCAACTTCAGCTTACCATGCCAAAGAAGCTCCATAAGAGTAGTAGCTTCCTTCTTACTTCATGCATCAAAAGCATTGCAACCGTAGATCCTGAAAATTATAAAAATCCATCCAATCAAGAGACAATGTAAAAGTTGTGGGAAGGTGAATATGCAACCAAGAATCTAAGGTATACTTGACAAATTTCCAATCAAACACAAAAATCTCATCTGTTACAGATTGGACCAACAAAAGAAAAAAAAGAATCTATTAACATGATTTTCAACCTAACTATAAAGAGGAGCTTTATAACATCACCATGCCAAAACAACCAAGCTCAACAAATTAACAAACTAATTTTTCTGAATCAATAATAGCATACATATTATCAAATTATCAATCAATAATTCACATATCGTTAAGGGTTAAACACATAGATGAAGATTGAAAATTTACTCACACATCTAATATATCCTTGCATTTCTATTTGAATTCAGAGTACGTGGAAATCACATCAACAAATCAAAGCCCTAAATTTTTATCATCCTGAACTGGAGAAATCTGTCAAATCTAAAATTTTTCGTTGCATCAAAATAATTACAAATTAAACCCTCTATTCTCTTAGCTGATAATCAAAACCAAATTAGTAAATTACTCACCTAAAAGCCTATTTTTTAAACGAAAACGCAGAAGGCAAACCTGAGTCCCTAATAATCCAAAATCATGTCAAATGGAGGAAAATGATATATCAGAATCGAATACTCATATACTAATAGAAAGTTTTATCCTTATTTTGTCTAATTATAGAAATTAAAAAAAAAAAAATTAAATCAAGAAAACCAAGAGCCAGATTCAATTTTGATGCAAAGAAAGCAAAGTTAGAATATCAAGAGCCAGATTATGCAATTAAATCAGAGAAAACTGAGATGCAATGGAATATATACAAATCTAATCCAAGAATGCAAACCAAAACCCTTACTTTCTGAGAGAAATTGGGATAGAACATACTAGAAAGAAAGCAAGAGGAAAGATATACCTGCTTTGGCTAGAATTGCTGGCGATGAATGTTTGGGGAGAAAAGCTTTACCTTTCACTCGCTTTTGATTTATGTAGCCACAACAGACACATTGCTTGTGACATTTTCCGAAGGGAATTCCAAATTCAAAATTCAACAATCTAAACCATAATTAACTCACAATTCAGTTCCATCAACATGATAGACATATCAAACTGTCAACAGACTAACAAAAGTAAACATAAACCCTCCATAGAAATAGCCCAATAGTAGGTTTATGTAGTCAGATTGTGCTGAACTAACTAAGACAAAATTCAAGTGATCAAAGCTAAGCCAGAGTTTTCTCCACTCCCAAACACAGCAAGAATCAGAATGTGCGTCGTCAATTTCAAGACATTCACAGAAAGAGAGAAAGGAAGGGATAAAGTAGTACAAACCTCAGATCGACTGGCCTCAATCCTCCGGATTCCTTCATTATCGTAGCAGAAATCGACAAACTGCATAACCAAAACCAAAATATTTAAATTTAAAGAAAAAAATGCAGTAGAATTGTATAATGAGAAATTCTCGAATGTGGATAAATTAATCTTGCGGGATGCGATTAGTCGCATTGCACTGGCAGTCGGCCTCAGGAGTATCTCAGGAGGAAACAAATCAAACATACTGCATTAGCAATTTGATTTACGAAGCAGAATGACATATAATCCATAGATTATCAAATCATTATACTGTAACTTATTTACTACTGGTTCCCTGTAATTACGCTTTTAAATGCAACTTAAGAATATATCGACCCAAAAAATCCCCAAGAACCCCAAACAAAACAACTATACATGCCAATCCTAAGTATGAACACAAACCATATCAAAGACAGTTAATCACACACCTAAACACGCTTGTGTCTACACAGTGGCCTTTAATTAAGTTATAATACGCATGAGTAAACCCTAAAAAACAAAAATCAAAGTTACAAACTTTCAGTACAAATCAATCCAGCATGAATTTATACCACACATTTTGGCATAAAAGAAAAGAAAAATCACAACTACTTAAAATTAATTCATCAAAATCACACGAATTCAGAGAGAATAGAGAGAGAGAGAGAGAGAGATTACTCGGATAATTCTTTGAAGTAAGGGACTCATAAGATCATAGCAATCTTAATCTGGGATTGGATATCGTGTGCCTCCTTCAGAGGGCTCTAGCTATCTTGCGCATCCTCCACCATTACCTCTCTCTCTCTCTCTCTCTCTCTCTCGCATGAGAGCATAGCACTCTTCTGAGACTGGATATCGTGCGCCTTCTTCAAATGGCTCTTGCTACCTTGCGCATCCTCCCTCCCTCCCTAAAACCGGAGACTCTTTGTCAGCAAATCCCATAGATTCAGAAATCTAACCCCAAAAACCGTAACCCAGAACCGGCATGAATCACTTCCACAGAAACACACCGATCATAGTAATTTACTGATCAATTACACCAGTGCATTCATCAAATAAGCATTTCCAAAATACACACTTAGCGGATAAACATAACCTAAGGCACAAATTCACTCGGATAGAGAAAATCAAGTTCCTCAACCTACGAAAACAAAGTGGCAAATGAGAGATCGTTTGATGGATTTTGATAGCACCAAAAACTCAGCAACCCTTTATCAACTTGCAAGTTACCAGATAGCAATGGAGGAAAAGAGGGGAAGAGATAGAGACAGAGACAGAGAGAAATGTTTTTTGTAATTTTGTATTGAATTGTCCAAAATATCTCCTTGTTTCCAACCCCACCAAATTGATTACAAATATGATTCCATTAACACCAAATGCCAGCTGGCCATACGACTACCACAACTTGATTACTACTTATTACAGTACTATTAAGCTACTAATTGCAAGCAGATAACCACAGTCGTAACATTGCCCACTCCTTCAGATAAACCTTGTCCACAAGGTTGTAATCACAGAGGAAAATCTGGGAATTTCTTAGCCAACTCATCATAATCTTCCCATGTAGCATCTTCTTCCTTGCTGCCCTTCCAGTGAACAAGCAGTTGCACTCTCGCCTCTTTACCTTTTTTGTAAACTCGCCTTTGCAGAATTGACATTGGTTTTAGAGACTTCAACCCATCTTCTGTCACCACTGGTAGAACTTTTAAAGGACTAACCCCTGGGCCCAAATGCTTCTTCAAACAGCTAACATGGAAGACATGATGTATCTTGGAATCTGTAGGAAGCTTGAGTTTGTAAGCTACACACCCAATCCTCTCTGAAACTTCATAAGGGCCATAAAACCTAGGATGTAACTTATGATAAGCATGTGCAGCCAAGGATTGCAATTGAGAGGGTACCAATTTCAAATAAACCAAGTCTCCAACTTCAAACACTTTTTCCCTTCTGTGCTAATTAACTTGAGCTTTCATTCTGTTTTGAGCCACCAATAGATTAGTCTTGAGCATAGCTAATAGATTATCCCTAGCCAACAATCCTTGCTTAATTATATCTAGCTTGGCAGTGCCCTTTTCATAAGAAGCAATATATGAAGGGGGAAATCCATAAACAACTTCAAAGGGAGAGAACTTGGATGAACTGTGAACTGAAGAATTATAACTCCATTCAGCCTATGGGAGCCAATAGAGCTACTTTTTGGGTTGGCAACTTGTGAAGCACCTAACATAGGTTTCCAAGCACCGATTAACCACCTCAGTTTGTCCATCACTCTAAGGATGGTATCTCGAACTTATACATAGCTTAGACCCACTCATTTTGAAAAATTCTTTCCAAAAGGTACTGAGGAATACAGTGTCTCTATCACTCAGTATAGTTGCTGGCATGCCATGCAGCTTGAACACATGTTCTACAAATTCCTGAGCTACCATAGTTGCAGTGTAAGGGTGTCCAAGAGCAATGAAGTGAGCATATTTTGATAACTTAAACACAACCACCAGAATAATAGACTTGCCTTTGCAGTTGGGTAAGCCACTAATAAAATCCATACTAATGTCCTTCCACACATGTTCAGGTATTGGTAGTGGCTGGAGTAAACCTGGTGGTGACAAGGTCTCATACTTATTCTGTTGGCACACCCTGCATTCAGCTACCCAAGACTTAATGTCTTTTTTCATTCCCACCCAATAAAAACTTCTTTTCAATCTGTGGTAGGTTTTTTGAACATCTTCATGGCTGGCCATAGGGGTGCAATGATGCTCTTCAAAAATCTTGTGTCTCCAAGTTGAATCAGGACCAATCACAATTCTATTTTTATATTTTAAGAACCCAATATCAATGTGGAACTTTGATAAATGGGAAGTGACAGTGTTGCCATGGGTGACAGCCCTCAGTTTTTCCTTCTTTTGCTTTATCCACTCATCTTTTTCCAATTGTTTTCTCAAATCATCCAACCACCCAAAGTAAGTGTATGTGATAGTGACACATTCCACTAACTCTTCACTGTGGGTTGTAGGCAATGTAGGGGCACTAGGTACCCTTGATAAAGCATCTGCCACCACATTTTCCACACCTTGTTTATATTGGATCTCATAATCATATCCCAATAGCTTTGAAACCCACTTTTGTTGAAATGGAGTAGTAGCTCTTTGATTTAAAAAATATTTCAGACTATTGTGATCTGTTTTGATGATGAAATGTTGCCCCTAGAAGTAATTTTGCCACTTCTTGATGGCATGTACCACAGTTATGAGTTCACTTTCATAAGTGGACAGAGGCCGGTTCTTGGGGCCCAAAGCTTTGCTGGAGAAAGCAATGGGTTTTCCTTGTTGCTGTAAGACTGCTCCTATCCCATTTGCAGAAACATCACATTCTATAACAAATGGAATCGAGAAATCAGGCAGAGCTAACACCTTGGGAGATGTCATGACCTTTTTTAATTCTTGAAAAGCTGACTCTGCTGCCTCAGACCATATGAACTCATCTTTTTTAGTGAGTTGGTACAGAGGCTGCTAATCTTGCCATAGTTTTGTACAAACTTTCTGTAATAACCTGTCAACCCCAAAAAACCCCTAAGCTCCTTCACATTCCCAGGGATTGGCCAATTCAAAATGGCTTGGATCTTAGTGGGATCAGCTGCCACTCCATCACTTGAAACTATGTGACCCAAGTATTCAGCTTGTGGCTGACCAAAAGAGCATTTAGACTTCTTGACATATAATTGGTGCTGCAACAACAACTCCAAAGTCTGGTGTAGATGAGATAGGTGCTCCTCCCATGTTTTACTATAGACTAATATGTCATTAAAAAATACCAATATAAATTTCCTGAGATAGGGTTTAAAAATGTCATTCATCAAGCTTTGAAAACTTACTGGGGCATTGGTAAGGCCAAATGGCATCACCAAAAATTCAAAGTGTCCTTCATGGGTCCTAAAGGCAGTTTTCTCCACATCCTTTGCATGCATTCATATCTGATGATAACCCGATCTTAAATCCAGTTTGGAGAAGTACCTAGCCCCAAATAGCTCATCCAACATGTCATCTATGAGTGGGATAGGATATTGATCTTTGATGGTGATGCCATTCAACTCCTTGTAATCCATACACAATCTCTAAGTGCCTTCCTTCTTCTTAACCAGTAAAACAGGAAAGGAAAAAGGACTATGGCTAGGTCTGATAAAACCCGAGTGTAACAATTCTTGGACTGCTTTTTCGATTTCAGCTTTTTGTAGAGGTCCATAATGATAAGGCCGGATATTGGGGGGTTTTGCTCCTGGAAGCAATGGAATCCTATGGTTGTGGGTTCGTAAGGGAGGTAATGTGGAAGGAATAGTAAAAATCACCTCAAATTTGTTCAAAACCATGTGTAGTTCATTGTATTGGGAGGGAGTGAGCTCAGATGTGTCAGTTGTTTCAACCTCTAAAGAATATAATAATAATCCCAAGTTTGAAGTGGAGCACCCTTTACTGATGTAATGCACCGAAATACCTTGTATGGGAGACCGTGAAGGTGCACAATGAGTCAATTTAAATTGCTCGGATCTCACTTCAAACTCCATGAAACTCCATAGTCAGATTTTGAAAATCCCACAAGACTGGACTTACTGTGGCTAGCCACGGGACCCCTAGGATAACATCACAACCCCTAAGAGGTAAAACAAACAAATCACTGTAGCAGTTATATTGTCCCACTATCAACTGCACATGTCTACAGCAAACTTGACTTTTCATTCTACCCCCATCAGCAATCATCACCTCGAAGGGCCTTGTTGGATGAATTGGACACCCTAATTGCTTGACTAATCTAGAGTTGATGAAATTATGGGTGCTTCCAAAATCTAATAGTATTTTAACAGTATAATTCTTAACCAACCCTTCCACCTTCACAGTTTGAACTGAAGGTTTGGCACTAGTGCCATAAAAGGCACACTAACTCAATGCCATGCTATGTAACTCCACAGGAAGATCAGTTGGTTCATCATCGCCATACTCATCATCAGAAATGATATCCAACATAAGAAGCTGTTTATGAGCACATTTGTGTCCCTTATCCCACTTGTCATCACAAAACCAACACTCATCCCGTTCTTTTTTGCGCTAAACCTCCTCAGGTGTTAATTTCTTATAAGGCAAAGCAGGGATGCGGTGCCTTCTCGGGATGGAAGTAGGGAGAGGGTTTGGTTTGGCTGGAGGAATCTGTTTATGGGGCACTGTTTTAAGATCCATGAATTTAGCATCAATTTGCACTGCAAGAGCAATGGCCTTATGCACCGAATTAGGTTTCCGCAACTTAACATCATACTTCAATTCACGTTTTAATCCACCAATAAAACAAGTCTTCAACAAAACCGGGCCGACATTAGTAGTTCGATTAGCGAGTCGCCTAAATTCGAGTATGTAATCTTTGAGAGTACCTGTTTGTTTGAGCTTGAACAAGGATTCGGTGCAATCCTCGAATCACAAGGGCCAAATTCCTGGCACAATGCGGTGGTAAACTCGGTCCAAGTTGGTGTGGAATGGATGCTGCAGTGGCTCATTCTCAAAGTGAAAAGAAGCGGTCAGGACCTTCTGATGATCGGGGGTGTGGTAATAAGCAAAGTATTGCTTAACCTTGTAGATCCAAGCGAAGGGATCGTCGCCGTCGGTGAATCGGCGAAAATCCAAACGGTGTGGCCACTGAGGGCTGGAGTGAAACCACCACCATCAAAAGAGTCTCGATGCGGGAAACGTGGAGTCTCTAAATAATGGAATTCGACGTCAGCAAGAGAAGGATGTGGCTGCTCATGACCCGGAGGAGGTGAAACAGTAAAAGATCCAACGCCGCTTGAAACGCCAGGGTCACGATGGAGATGCTCCAAGAGAAGGTCGAATGTCGTCTCTAAGAAAGTGAATCTGGCGTCCGAAGCTGCATGGAGCTGCTGAGGAAGAGCTTCCAAAATAGTTTCCACGACGGAGAGGCGAGCTTCCAATGTAGACATGCGAGAATTGTTGGTGTGGCGGGGCATACAAGAGGGAGGCCAAGGATCGAGATGATGATACCAATGATAACACCAAAAACTCAGCAACCCTTTCTCAACCTGCAAGTTACCATATAGCAATGGAGGAAGAGAAGGGAAGAGACAGAGAGAAATGTTTTTTGTAATTTTGTTTTGAATTGTCCAAAATATCTCCTTGTTTCCAACCCCACCAAATTGATTACATATATGATTCCACTAACACCAAATGCCAGTTGGCCATACGACTACCACAACTTGATTACTACTTATTACAGTACTATTAAGCCAC